ATGGACCCAATCTTTCAAACACGAAGGTCCTCACAGGTGATTTTCCAAGTCGATCAAAGACATAAGGCTTGTTAGAAGCAGCAGATTCGTCTTCTACAGTGATATAATTGCTACTCGCCCTTCTTATGGAGATGCGCAGTGGTGACGATTGATTGTATCCCAAACCTTCACATGGTTGTCTCGTTGCAGCTTCTGATGGTAGCTTCCCTAACTTTGACGGCTCATTAGGATTGTATCCAGCTTTTGCAAATAGCTTGTAAGTGTTAGGATCAAAACCTTCATCTGTTCGCTTTGTAGGGAGTGCCACATTCTGCAAATGATTTTGGGTTACAGACCCTGCAAGCGGTTTTGAGGACAACTTTACTTCCTCAATTCGTTTTACCTTAAGAGTTAACTCCTTTAGCGTCTTGGTTTGGAGATTAGATGATTCACCTTTATCTTTCTTCCTTTTAGGGACATATTGGAGCGCATGACTCACTTTCTTGCCATAAGACGCAATACCCCCTCTATAAGATTTATTCGCGTAGGGTTGTACCTCCTCGGTAACATCTTTGACTCTACCAGTAGTCACTTCGGCTCTTTAGTTGTGGGCTTGTCATTCTTGCTTTTCATGCCATCATCAACTTTTATCTCCTTCACAATGTGGTTCTTCAAGTAGAACTTTGCATCGGCGAAGTGTGACTCTGCCTCGGTGAATGGCTCATCATCAACAACTATCTTCTTCTCGACTTCACCCTCATAGTATTTCAAACATTGATGGTAGGTAGATGGAACCACTTTGTTCTCATGTATCCAAGGCCTTCCAAGCAAGACGTTGTATGAAGTCTTTGCATCGATCACATGTAGCCATGCACTTGATTGCATATCTTCAATGGTGATTTCCAGCCTAATCGCGCCTATGGCTCTTTGCCCCCCTTGTTTGAATCCTTGGATCATCACACGACTTTCTGAGAGTTCATTAATAGGAATACCAAGTTCTTTCACAGTGCGAATTGGCAAAATGTTCACTGAGGATCCTCCATCAACCAAAATTCGATTTACCATTTCATCATGCATATAGCCAATTATGAAGAGTGTCACCTAGCAGAAGATCGTCATTTGTGAACGTACTTTTTCCTCACAAGCATTAACTTCTTGAGGAGTGGACTCAGTGAGCTTTTCCGAAGATGGTGGCAACAGTAGGTCATCACTCTTTTCTTCCCCTTTGTCAGCATTGCAACAAGAGGCCTCAACACGATCACGGGAGATCTTCGTGCGGAACCAAGATGGCAAGAAATCCTCCAAAGTCACTGTATGTCGTGGCTTTTGAGGGTGGTGCATCTCCATTTTTACTTTCTTCCAACGCCTAACTGGATTCTTTTTCATTGGCCTTTTTACCATCATCTTCCTTGTTGGTTGTTCTAGTGATTCTTTTCGTGGGCTCCTTTTGTGGCGCCTACGATGAGTCACCAACGTCCAACCTTCATCATCATCAGGTTGATCGTCTTCAACTTTGTTGTTCTCCGATAATTCTTCATTTTTGATTCCTTTCAAACTGCATAACTCATCTAGATTGAATGAACCAAAGGTGATAGAGACTTGGTTCGCGCTTGCTTTCACATCTTCAAGCACGATCTTTTTTTCACGAGCCAAGTCCATGACTTTGTCCTTGAAGACAAAGCACTTCTCCAGAGGGTGGCTCACAAGTCGATGGTATTTGCAGTAATCATTTGTTTTCCCAGCTTCATTTGGTCGCTTCATCTCTAGAAGCTCAATGAGATTTAACTCAAGGAGTTCTTCAAAGATAGCTGGCACGTCGGACTCTAGAAATGGGTACTCTTTCTCTTGCATTTCTTTTAGAGTCAACTTTCCACTTAGCTTATCGTGAAAAGAAGTGGATTTCATACTCCGCTTCTTGCTCATCTTCGTCGTGAACTTCATAGGTGACGTGTTGACATTCATAGCTTCTTTGCTTTCAGACTTGGGTACGAACTTGCCCCACTTTCTGACTTCTTACTTGTCTTTCCCTTTGCGAGGTTCATAGATGGGCAGCCTTTCATTTCCAGCGGAGGCCATGCTCAATTCCATGTCATGGGCACGAGTTGCAAGTTCTTCAAATGTGCCAGACTTGATACCTTGCAAGATGTAGCGCAATCCCCAATGCATGCCTTGGATGCACATCTCTATGCCTGAAGCTTTACTAAGCCTGTCTTTGCAGTTGAGGCTTGCATTCCTCCACCGATTGATAAAGTCGATAACTGGTTCCCCCTTTCGTTGACGAGTATTTGTAAGTTCTATCATACTCACAGTACGTATCGTACTATAAAAGTGATTGAGGAACTCTTGCTCTAGTTGATCCCAGTTATCGATAGATCCAGCCTCGAGGTCCGTGTACCAGTCAAAAGCATTTTCTTTTAGTGAGCGGACAAACTGCTTGATGAGGTAATCTCCATAAGTCCCAGTATTATTGCACGTCTCCACGAAGTGCGCAACATGGTTCTTTGGGTTACCTTTACCATCAAACTGTTGAAACTTCGGAGGTTGATAACCAGCGGCATTTTCAACATATCGACCCTTGCAGTGTACGGCTTTGCATATGTAAGGGAGGATTTGGCTGCAACTTCATATTTGTTCTTAATAGTTCCTTCAATGAACTCCTTCAATTGATCGATTGGAATCATCCCTTCAGATGAGATAGGGGTAGCCTTAGTGGATGTTGCTTGTCTTGGGGGAGAGTCACTCTCTAGAACCTCTGGGAGCTTGCCGGGTGCATGGGTGGATTCTTCTTCCATCAAGATTCCCACCCTTTCTATTAGCTTGTCAATTCTAGCCTCTTGATTTTGCATGCATTTGGTCAAGCCAGCGATTGCTTCCGTCAAGTTTGCCAACTGCTCCTCCATAGATAAAGTGTTTGTCACCATGGCTTGCATGATTGTCGTGGACGACGGAGAGTAGCATGGATTTTCACACAGATTGATCCTTGATTGGCTCACGCTATGTGGTGTAAGTGGGGAGGATCCATCACTTGAAGCATCATCATCTTCCTTCACAGCAGAGTGCTTGGATCCGGAGAGGTCAAGCAGAGCAAGAGTTTTCTTGATCTTTTCAGCAACATCGCTTCCTCCTTCAGATGCGTTTGTGGAAGATCTTGCTCCTTTTGAGGATGAAGATCTGAAAACAGGGGGTTGATGCGGACGGCACTTGGGGTGCTTGTTGTTCTAAAGAGCTTGCTTTGCTCCTCGTAACTAGTCCGAAGCTTCCGAATGTGACATCGAGGATGCTTTCCACATCAGCATAGAACCTGGAGTTAGCAGCCTTGGTGGAAGTTGAACCGGAGTTGATTTTCTTTGAAGCCATTTCAATGTTCTTGGACTTTGGTGAATGAAAAGTTGAGATGAGAGGTAGAGATTGTCCCACCGGGCGTGCCAGAATTTGTAGACAATAAAATTGCGTCGAGAAAATAAAATCAAGACCGAAAAATATCACAATAATCGTAGTATTTTATTTCAAATATTTGAGTGTTACAATCTCTATGAATCCTCTGATTCTTCTTTTCAATAGTAAATAAATTCAAGGGCCTTTGAGCTTGATCTTGAATCTATGTTTGTTGCCACGAACGATGATCTTGAATTCAACTGGCACGAACTTTAATTTGAACTCGCACTCCTTGAACCTTGATTTGTTCTTCGTTCTTGAGCTTGAATACTTGATTTGTTCTTCGTTCTTGAACTTGAACTTGATTTCTTGAACTTGAACTTGGTTGCTTGAAGCCTGAAACTTGTAGAGAAATTTGCGGCGTTTGATCCACGAGCTCTCTCTTGCTTCTTGTTATAACTTCTGGTGTCTTTTCTGAGTTATGAAGACCCCTATTTATAGTTGTGGAAGGGAAGAGTTATGATAAGAACAAACTCTTTCCGACCAATCAAATTGAAGTGTGACATGGCCGCATTTGATTGGCCAGAACATGTCACTTGCACATGTGGCACTATTTCATTGGCCTTTTAGTGTGACTTGGCATGCCTTGTCATTTTGACACGTGGCATGATCCTATTGGATCTTCCGTTTGACTTGGCGTGCCACGTCATTTCACGCGTGGCACCAAACTAGGCCTCTAGGAAGATTTGAGCCTAATGAAGTGAGCTCATTACTTATATCCCAATTAAATGGGCTAACCCAATGGATTAAGAATTATTTATTTAACCCATATGTGTTGGACTTATATAATTAATTCAATTATATTAGCCCATAATATTTATTTGGACCAATATATTTTGAATTTAAAATATAGTCCAAATTATTTATTGAATTTAAATTCAATAAATTTTACATGCCTACAAATTTAATCATCTCAAAAGTACTTTAAAAAAAAGTATTTTTGGTGAGAAGCAATTTGTGTTTGGCTAATTAATTTGAAAAGAACTTTTGAGCAGTAATTAGTGTTTGGCCAAGCTTTTGAAAACTATTTCTAAGTGTATTTTTCTCAAAAAGTGCTTTTGTAGAGATGTTACTTTTTTCTGCTTCTCAAAAACTGCTTCTGCTTCTCATCAAAAACACTTTTTTTTTCTTCCAAAAGCTTGGCCAAACACCTCAAATTTTGGCCAAAAGCGCTTTTGGCCAAAAAAAAAAAAAGTTTGGCCAAACAGGCTATAAATAAATTATTATTAATAACATTGGATTTTACCCTTAATTTTTTCTAAACGACCTTTTTCAAAATTAAAATGCTATTGTAAGATTATTAGGAATTTGGTTGAATGATAAGGTTAACACATGCTCACTTTTCACCCGGAATACCTAATGTTAAGTTAATAGTTACAAAATCAATCGCTGAATAAAATTAACAATAAATTCTATACTGGAATAACCCCTTAATCCTTGTGATCAAACGGCCCTTAAGAATCTCTTAGTAGAATTTTGTCAACCATGTGGAGAGCTACAGGTGAGAGCAGAGGAAGAAGCAGCAAAACAATAATCATTGAAAATGGAACAGAATAAGACCAAAAAATAACATTATCTTCTGCTAACCACGGGTACCATGGCTCACGCTTCTCTTTCCACGTGTCATCCGAACTTCGGTTGACATCAGATAGGCCCAATCCCCTTCATTTTCCCAGATTACCCTTTTTATCTTTTGTATTACTACTATACTAGTAGTATTTCTGGTATCAGCATCGAACTGCGTGCCAGCCAATTGATATACTAGGAGTAAATAATTTCTAGTGCATTTTGTTGACGAAAAGAAAGGAAGAGTTAGTTAGGTAGCGATGGATCACGTAGCGGATGCACACAGGACTGATCTGATGACAATAACAAGGTTCGTGTTGAATGAGCAGAGTAAACACCCTGAATCACGCGGTGACTTCACTATCTTGCTCAGTCACATTGTTCTTGGCTGCAAATTCGTTTGTTCTGCTGTTAACAAGGTTAGATTTTATTTTCTCTAATATAATGGAATAGATACACAGGATTGATGTAGTCATTAATTTGGGATCAAGGTATAATTCATTGATGAAGCATAGTTGACTGATATTCTTCTTGCTAACTTATACTGTCTTTTGTGTTTGTTATTCTTGGAGGTGGCGGTTTTACATCTTTACTTGGATTGACTCTTTTTTTTTTCTTTGATTGACTTAGAATCTTGCTTTATCAAATTGTTGTTAGCTAGAAATTTGAGTCATGGTCAATTTCCTCATCCAATCATCTTTACACACACACACACTGCTCTGTCTGTAAAGGCAATATGGTTTTTGAGTTTTATTATAAGTATGATGAGTTCCCATTTTGCTTTAAAAAAGGATTTTTTGCTGAGGCTGTGCATTGAAAATATGTAATCATGATGTTATGGTAATCCAGGTATGGCCGTGATATTAACTTTCAAGTTATCTCATCATTGTTTTTGAGTTTAGGGGTCAATATAAAATGGAAAAAATCTTTATTTGTGTGAACATAAAGCTTAGAATTTTGTAAGTTCATGAGCAAGAGTTGAGCTTTTCTTTGATAAAGTTGTTTTGCTTATAGCACTTAGTTAAATAGAGGAATGTCATTCTTCTTTCTCTCTTCTCTACTCAAATTGACTGCTGTTGGATAAGCCCAATAGCTGCTCTCTAACCTATCCTTCATTATTATGTTAATGGTCGAGGCAGAGGAAGCTTTACTGCAGTGACTCTTTCAGCATGCACTTCAAACTAGTTTTACATTGTTTTGTTCTATCCTTACTTCCATTATTGATGTGTTTACACTGCGTATACATCTTTTCAGGCAGGTTTGGCCAAACTCTTAGGGCTTGCTGGTGAGACTAATGTGCAGGCAAGTTGTTAGGAATGCGGCACTCATAGTGTTGAAGCGTTAAGTCTTTGTTTCTTATCAGAATGTTATAATTTCTAATTGAAGGGTGAAGACCAAAAGAAACTGGACGTACTCTCAAATGAAGTTTTCATAAAGGCTCTTGTCAGCAGTGGCCGAACAGTAAGACCCAAGACCCTCATGTTTTAGTGTACTGTGCTAAAATACGTAGTGGTGCTGATCTGAAAGATCTCAAAATTATACAGTGCATTCTTGTGTCTGAAGAAGACGAAGAAGCTACTTTTGTGGAGCCGGCTAAGCGTGGAAAGTACGTATTATAGCTTTTCACAAGTTTATACAAAGGCTTGCTTTTATTTAGTTTATCATTAATGTGATTGCATTTCATACAATATTGAAACAGGTACTGCGTAGTTTTTGATCCTCTGGATGGATCTTCCAACATTGATTGTGGTGTTTCAATCGGAACGGTATTATTCCACTTTGAACTATTAAATTTTCTTTCATAGGCTTTCAACTTGTGTAATTTTTGCTTCCTAAGCAATGGCTCAATGACAAAATGCATCTGTTTTATCTAGATCTTTGGGATTTACATGATGAAAGATGCTCATGAACCAACACTAGATGATGTCTTGCAACCTGGAAAGAATATGTTAGCTGCTGGATACTGCATGTATGGAAGTTCTTGTACGGTACGGGAGTTACCTTTTATTGTAATAGATTTGAGAGTTGTTGGATTCCATAAACAATAGATCCAAAAGTATACGAATTATTATATGAGTCTTATTGGAAACTCTTTCAAAGTGTGAATTGCAATTGCTGGTGACAATAATTTTTTCGGGCTCGGTTATTTGCAGCTTGTCTTGAGCACCGGAAAAGGTGTTAATGGTTTTACACTTGACCCCTCTCTTGGCGAGTTCATCTTAACTCATCCAGATATCAAGGTAAAGTTGTCCCTCAGCTATTTACTTCTGTTTAAGACGCAGACATGTCTCCTTACCTACTGGCTTGGTTGGCCACCCGTTTCTGGATCGTGGCATGAGTACTCAAGATTGTCTTAGATCGTAAAGTTGAATATATCCCAGGAGGGTAGAGTTTGGAGGGAAACAATATTTCTAATCTTTAGATAATTATAAAAGATTCTTTTGTGATACCTTCAGTTTCAATAACGTCTGTTAAAAGTTCTGTTCATTTCTTTCAGAATTTTCTTTATGTCATTACTTAACTAGTTAATCATTTCTTACTTGTTATATTTCACAGATTTTTGATAATGCTGTAGTATTAATTTTGAAGTTGTAAAAACTTCTTTTTTAAGCTATAGCTATTGTCAGATTAGGAGAATATTTGTTACAGCTGTACAACAGCATTAGGGAAGATATATTTCTGTAAATAGCTGAGATATTTTTTCCATATTTATCCTAGGAAGATCGATCCGATCTGTATCCCTGATTTGTAGAGATATCCCTAGCTAGCTTTATTTGTTATCTCTGTATATAAACCCCTAGTGTGTACATTGTGAAGATGAGAAAGACAATATACTTTTTTTACTTCTCNAACCTTGCCTTGGAATCTTTCTTGGTCATCAAATACCTAAGGGCGGCATGGTCGGTGTGTACTATGACTTTGGCCCCCATAAGATATGGCAGAAATATTTCCAGGGCGAACACAATAGCCAACAATTCCTTCTCCGTTACCGTGTAGTACCTTTGAGCTTCATTCATTGTCTTGCTTGCATAGTACACGGGATGAAACATTTTGTTCACTCTTTGACCTAACACTGCCCCAACCGCAACATCACTCGCGTCACACATGAGCTCGAAAGGCAAGCTCCAATCGGGTGCGGTAATGATCGGGGTAGTGGTCAACTTGTGCTTAAGAAGCTCAAAGGCCTCCATGCATTTCTCATCAAACACAAACTTAGCATCTTTCTCTAGCAACATGCAAAGGGGATTCACAACCTTAGAAAAATCCTTGATGAAGCGCCGGTAGAACCCCGCATGCCCAAGGAAACTTCTCACCCCTTTGACAGAAGTGGGGGGAAGAAGCCTTGAAATCACCTCAATCTTGGCTTTGTCTACTTCAATCCCATGCTTAGAAATTTTGTGACCCAACACTATGCCCTCTTCAACCATGAAGTGACATTTTTTCCAATTAAGAACAAGATTTATTTCTTCACATCGGGCTAGAACTCTATCCAAATTTCCAAAACACTCTTCAAATGAATCACCAACACACTAAAATCATCCATAAGACCTCCAAAATGCTTCCACCATATCGGTGAAAATAGCCATCATGCATCGTGGAAGGTCGCCGGAGCATTGCACAACCCAAATGACATCCGAGAAAAAGCAAATGTACCATATGGGCAGGTGAATGTGGTCTTCTCTTGATCCTCCGGAGCAATTAAGATTTGATTATAACCCGAATATCCATCCAAAAATCAATAAAAGGCTCGCCCCGCAAGAAGGTCAAGCATTTGGTCAAGGAATGGCAAAGGAGTGATCCTTTCAGGTCACCTTGTTTAGCTTCCGATAGTCCATGCATACCCGCCATCCGATAACCGTCCGAGTGAGAATAAGTTCATTGTTGTCATTAGTCACCACAGTCATCCCACCTTTCTTCGGCACACATTGCACCGAAGAAGTCCATGAGCTATCGGAGATTGGATACACCACACCTGCATCTAGCCACTTGATCACCTCTTTTTTCACCACTTCTTGCATTGCCTCATTGAGCCTCCTTTGATGTTCTAAGGAAGGCCTTGCATCATCCTCCAAAATAATTTTGTGCATGCAAAATGCGGGGCTTATTCCCCGAATATCCGCCAGAGTCCATCCAATTGCCCTTTTTTGCCTTTCAAACACCGCCAAAGTGGCCTCAACCTGCATGTTAGTAAGGCAAGAAGAAAGAATAGCTGGTAAAGTTGAATTAGAGCCCAAGAATTCATACCTGAGGTGTGGAGGAAGTGGCTTCAACTCCAACACCGGTGGCTCCTCGATTGATGGTTTGGTTGGTGGAGTTTTCCGATTTTCAAGATCTAAAGACAATTTTCTTGGCTCATAGGAATAAGAGCCCATCCCATGTAGAGCATTTACACACTCCACTCTGCTTGCATCATCATTGACATCAAGATTTAATAGCACGGCCTCAAGGGGATCCTCCACGTTAATCATAGAACTTGTGTCATCCACTATCACAGCTGTGACAATGCCCACAAATGAGCACACCTCGGTGCTATTGGGTTGCTTCATGGATTTGCAAACATGGAAGACGACCTTCTCATCACCTACCCTGAAAGTTAGTTCACCCGCTTCAACATCAACCAATGCCTTCCCCGTTGCAAGGAAAGGTCTCCCTAGAATAATTGGTACCTCATAGTCCACCTCACAATCCAAAATCACAAAGTTCGCCGGCAAGATAAATTTGTCCACCCGGACAAGCACATCATCCACTATACCCAAAAGACGCTTCATTGATCTATCTGCCATATGTAATCTCATGGAAGTTGGCCTTGGTGGCCCAATACCCAGGGTCTTGAAGACTGAGAAGGGCATTAAAATGATGCTTGCCCCAAGATCACATAAAGCTTTGGCAAAGTCTGCACTACCAATAGTGCAAGGGATAGTGAAAGCACCGGGATCCTCTAATTTCGGGGCCATTGAATGTACTATGGCACTAACTTGGTGGGTCATCTGGATAGTTTCGCAGTCCATTGATCTTTTCTTTGTAACCAAATCTTTCATGAACTTCGCATACCCAGGCATTTGCTCCAAAGCCTCCACCAAAGGCACGTTGATGGATAAGCTCTTCATCATGTCAATGAACTTTTTGAATGGGTTGTTACTTTTCTGCTTGGCTAGCCTTTGAGGATAAGGCGGAGGTGGTCTAGGCAAAGGTGCCTTGGCTTTTGGCACCACCGGTTCCGGCATGTCAATGATGTGCTCCCTAGACGGGTTCACGGCCTCTTAAGTTTCCACCTCGGCCTCATCAATGTCAATCCTCACATCATTGTTTACCTCATTCTCAACCACATCTTCAACTACCAAAGGAACATCATTTTCTTGCAACTCAACATCATCTTCAACAACTTGCTTATCTTTCGAGGCATGCACATCACCGCCTCTCCTACTTCGTGTTTTAACCGCCATCACATGATTGTTCCCACCCTTGGGGTTCACTACCGTATCACTTGGTAGAGCACCCTTTGGGCGAGTATTCAACGATTGAGAGATTTGGCCTAATTGCACCTCCAAATTCCGAATGGAGGTATTATGGGAAGTCAATTGAGCATCAGAATCTTGGTTCTTCTTCATCATTTGTTCGAACATCATTTCTATTCTTCCTATCAGATTAGGAGAATATTTGTTACAGCTGTACAACAGCATTAGGGAAGATATATTTCTGTAAATAGCTGAGATATTTTTTCCATATTTATCCTAGGAAGATCAGATCCGATCTGTATCCCTGATTTGTAGAGATATCCCTAGCTAGCTTTATTTGTTATCTCTGTATATAAACCCCTAGTGTGTACATTGTGAAGATGAGAAAGGCAATATACTTTTTTTCTTCTCCTTTTAACATGGTATCAGAGCTTTTGGCTCTTTCCTGAGAGAATTCTTTCTCATTTCTCATCATTCTCTTGAAATTGAAACTTTTTTTTTCCCTTCTAGACTTGTTGAAACCCGAAAGTCAAGGATAAAATGCCTGAAACAACCGAGACCAGTCCTGCTATCACCACAACCGGTGATTTGCAAAATGTCCAGGCAGCTTACCGGTTGAATGGACAAAATTTTCTGAAATGGTCACAGTTCGTTCGAACATTCTTGAAAGGCAAAGGGAAGCTAAGTCATCTGTTGGGTACAGGCCCGTCTAAGGAAGATCCCAAGTTTGAAGCCTGGGATGAACAAGACTCAATGGTCATGTCTTGGCTCTGGAATTCTATGATTCCAGAATAAGTGATACATGATGTTCTGAGTACGGCTAAGGAGATATGGGAAGCAATCCAACAAACCTACTCAAAGGTAAATGATGCAGCCCGAATCTATGAACTTAAGACGAAGGTTACAGCCATGAAGTAGGGGGCACGATCAGTCACTGAATATGCCAATCTCTTNAAGAGCAGCACATAGAATACTAGAGTATGTGAAAGGGACGACCTGAAAAGAGGACTTTTATTCAAAGGGGTAGGCACCTTGACTATAGAAGCTTATACAGATGCGGACTATGCTGGGTCGCTAGTCGACAGGAAGTCAACCTCAGGGTATTGCACTTTCTTGGGTGGTAATCTGGTGACATGGAGAAGTAAAAAACAGAATGTTGTAGCAAGGTCAAGTGCTGAATCAGAGTTCAGAGCTATGGCATTGGGTGTTTGTGAGCTATTGTGGCTAAAAATAATTCTTGAAGACCTGAAAGTAAAGTGGGAGGCACCTATGAAACTATACTGTGATAACAAGTCAGCAATTAGTATAGCCCATAACCCAGTGCAGCATGATCGGACGAAGCACATTGAAGTTGATCGACACTTTATCAAAGAAAAATTAGATAGTGGGTTGATTTGTACTCCATTTGTGTCTTCCAAGGATCAACTAGCGGACATTCTCACAAAAGGACTACAAAGCAGCACTTTTGAAGGACTTGTTATCAAGCTGGGACTTGAGGGGGAGTGTCAGATTAGGAGAATATTTGTTACAGCTGTACAACAGCATTAGGGAAGATATATTTCTGTAAATAGCTGAGATATTTTTTCCATATTTATCCTAGGAAGATCAGATCCGATCTGTATCCCTGATTTGTAGAGATATCCCTAGCTAGCTTTATTTGTTATCTCTGTATATAAACCCCTAGTGTGTACATTGTGAAGATGAGAAAGACAATATACTTTTTTTCTTCTCCTTTTAACAGCTATCATGATGAGGAGCTGACTACAATAGTTGTATATTCATTCATCTCATATTTAACGATGTTTTAAATCTTCTCTTAAAATTATTCTCCTTTTGTAATTATTGAAAATTGGTAATCCTAAATTTTTTATTATAATTCTTAGTTATAGTATGATAATTATGTAATTACATCATAATAAAGTTTGTATTAAAATTGGAAAAATTAAGGTAAATAGGCCTAGGATGTTATTGGAAAAAAAAGGCAGCCCGGTGCACTAAGCTCTCGCTATGTGCGGGGTCCGGGGAAGGGCCGGACTACAAGGGTCTATTGTACGCAGCCTTACCCTGCATTTTTGCAAGAGGTTGTTTCCACGCTCGAACCCGTGACCTCCCGGTCATATGGCAACAACTTTACCAGTTGAGCCAAAGCTCATTGGAAGCAAAGTTAGATTACACTGTATAGTTAAATCTTACTGTAATTGACCAAACAGACGTAAAAAGTTGCAAATAATCGAGTGGTTGTTGTTGACTGTATTACAGTTCCCTTCATACAATCCGTGATAACTTGTTGGTGAAACAAATATAATGGTTTACTATGTAAAATGTGATCTCTTGGTAACAATCCTACACAGCATGCCATTGTTTTAGCATAAAACTTATCAAAAAAAAAAACATTTTAGCATAAACAACATCCTGTGTCCTTTTCTGACTCTGAAGTTACCTTTGCTTAAAGTTATAATTCTCTTTCCTCAACTGCTATTTGATACCTTTAGTTCTTAGCCTCATTTTCGTCCACATCAGTCATTCTACTTCTTGTCTGGATTTTGTATTGTTTTCAGAACATTCAAATTATGATCTTCCTATTTGCTTCTACTTTCTTTTATGTTAATAGGATTGATATTGCATCTTTTCCATTTAGCAAGATCTTTATTTTGCTTTGTACATGCAGATTCCTAAGAAAGGGAAGATTTATTCAGTGAATGAAGGAAATGCGAAGAACTGGGATGGTCCAACATCCAAGTATGTGTAATGAGTTTAATGATCTACATTTTCCAGTCTCTATGATGTCTTACTTTTATTTGAATTTCAGATATGTGGAGAACTGCAAGTTCCCCAAGGATGGTTCTTCACCCAAATCTTTAAGATATATTGGAAGGTACTGGAGCTATGTAGTGCGAGACTTTAAGTGCTTAAATTCTTTAGCTTCTTATGTGTATTTTTGTGGGTTTTACCACTGTGATTTCATTTCCTTCGATAAAAGAATTGCAACTTCAAGTTCATTGTTCAGGCATTGAATTAACTTTCTAATATTTACTTAGAAATAGAGATGAAAAACTTCTGGTGTATTGTCATATCACATATATCAGAGTGTATATGATCTTCACCAGATTGTATTAAAAGAACTTGAATTTTGTATGAACCAACTTATTTGTCCTGGCATCTTAATCAGGTGTCAAGTGCCAACCATGAATGATTGCCATTTTTCTTGTCATGCTAGGCAATAGAATTGTGTTCGTCTGATTAATTAGAGAAGTAATGTGAAGCTGGAACTCTTAACATATATTGAAATCGCTGAAGCTGAGCTCCTCAGAACAAAAGCGATTATAATCTATCTATTTTTCTTATCGACATGGAAAAAGTGGAAACCAAGCTTCCTATACTTTTTGCTTGAAGTCTGATAGCCTGAGTGGTGTCATATATTGCTAAGGTGAGTAGCATCTTTAGAATCATTATGACCATCTTACAGCTTTATAAGTCAACTATAGTTCAAACTTCAAAAGTTAAAGGTTCATACGAAATGTGCATACAGGGCTGAATATCTATCAAATACTTATAATCAAGCTCTTGACTTGTTTGGTTTGATTGGATGGGTTGGTTTAATCAAATGGCTCCTTATATTTTGAGTGAGACATGAATAGGTCTTGCGAGTTCTGAAAATCGACAATGGGTCTGATGTTGGTGTTTTGTAATTTCAATTGTTAAGATGGATTGCTCCATTGGGATTTGCATATTATTTGCAGTTGTTCTTAATGGGCAGATGCAACAACTTTTGTTTCCATTAGACAAATCTGAAATTAATCATGTTCTGAGTGTGATCATAGATGTATGTTAAATATAACCTGACGTAGGTAGTTATTATCACCTCATTTTACATGACATCTGACTGTTGTCTCGCAGCATGGTAGCTGATGTTCATCGAACATTACTCTATGGTGGAATCTTTTTGTACCCAGCTGATAAGAAAAGCCCCAACGGGAAGCTGCGGTAAGTTATGCACATCTTTTGAGTTACAAATTGAACTTCTCAACTATAATTATCTGAAAGACTGCAACTGAAATTGTATGAAACAGGGTTCTTTATGAAGTATTTCCGATGTCATTTCTGATGGAACAAGCAGGAGGCCAAGCATTTACAGGAAAACAGCGGGTAAGATTTCTGCATATTTAGTTAAACCATAATAGAAAATCAAACTGCAAGTTTGTTTTGATTTCACTTTCAGTCCTTGCCAAAGAACTCTCCTACAAAAAAGTGAAAAGTGTCGCGGAGCTGATATTCTCAGTCCAGTTCTGTTATACCTTTCTGCTTTTGGACTTGAGTTTAGTGCTTGAGATGTCAAATGTTGTTTAGTTTTCCGAGTCAAGATTAAAGATCCCTGAAAAAGCATCGTCGAGTGCTTAGATGGTAATTGTTTTATGTGGTCATCTTAAACAGATAAATGTAGAAAAAGGAACTTTAATGTAGTCAAAGTATGTCCTTTTTAGACTACTAATATTACTTTTATGCAGGCACTTGACTTAGTTCCTAAGAAAATACATGATCGGGCGCCAATATTCCTTGGTAGTTATGATGATGTGGAGGAGATCAAAAGGCTTTATGCTGCTGAAGAGAAAAACTAATGGATGCACATTTACCTTTTCTCACTTCACAACTCTTGCTGGTGCTGATTACTAATTTGTCAATGTAGAGCAAATTGCTCATTATAATTCAAAATCATCAAGGATGATTACAGTTCTATGTTGCACAATAGAGTATAAGCTACTCTGCTAATAATACGTGCATATAAATGAGCTTGTGCAAGCTGCGGCGTGTTTTTATTTTATTTGCCTATTGCTACTTCATCAACGTGTGAAAAATTCGGGTCAGGGGCTCAGTTTAGGTGGCTAAGTGAAAAATTCGAACAAGTTCAGGGCTCTGTATTGTTGAAAATTAACAAAGTTTTACTATTAGAACATTATTCTGTGGAGCAAGAAATTGTGTTCAGGATTTTTCAAGATACGAAGATGGTAGAACTTCGTCCAGAGATGGTGGTAGATTTTGATTTTTGAGGCCTCTATTACACATCTCTTCATGTTGGGTGATTTTTAAAAATAGCCAGATTTACAGCTGGTCGTTCAAAAATAGCCCAATTTCAGAAGTAATCAATATTTAGCCACTTTTTATGTAAAGAAAAATTTGAGCGAAAATACTGTTCAAAACCCGGAAAATACTCCAGTATATTATGCTGGAGTTCCAGCATAAGTATACTTGAACTCCAGCATATTATACTGGAGCTCCAGGATAGTATGCTGGAACTCCAGCATAATATGATGGAGTTCTAGCATAAATACACTAAAACTCCAACATAATATACTGGAGTTCCAGCAAATATAATGGTCCAGTATAATATACTGGAGTTTGGAGCACCAGTGCTCCAGTTTCCAGTATATTATACTGGAGCCAGCAAAGTATACCGGTCCAGCATAATATGCTGGAGTTCATACACAAGTGCACCGAAACTCCAGTATATTATGCTGGACCGGTCTCTATTGCAGCAAAACGGTGGCTATTTTTCATTGACTTGGTAAACGCTAACTACTTTTAATTGACCAGTCCGAAAACTGACTATACCGTGAAATTTTGGCCTTCATGTTAGGCTAATGAATTTATATTGTTTGTCCATCTTATTAGTCAGCCGAATCCTAGTAAGTAGTAATGAATGGGAATATGAAGCAGATCCTTATTTTTCATTTGCAGTATTCTCCTTTCCCTTTACTCGTTTTATATCTACGATAATACAAGGTGTAATGATTTTAAATTTAGGTAAAACCCAAAATTTATTATTATGAATTTAAAGAAGGGAGAAGCTTATCAGGCCATGTTTGGCCCAAAAAAGTATGTACTTGTTTTTGAAAATTATGTTGTTTAGTTGTGACTAAAACAAAGAAAAACCACTGAGAGATGTGATAGAATGGATGAGATTCCTCTGTCCATAGTATTTTTTCTTCTTCTCTTAAATTTTTGAACAAATTGGAGCGACAAAGGGTTGAATCTGGTAGCAAGGCCACTTTGTCACTTACAATACCTTGTCGCGTATTTAAGTCATTTGCAAAGACTTTTAGGGGGAAATGCACAGTTAGCCACTAATTAGAGATGTCTTTACTCTTTAGCCACTGTTTAAAATGTATTTATTCTTTAGCCAGTGCTTAATAAATTTTTATCCGCCCGGTCGAAAATACCCCTGTACTAGACATGGGTGTTGTGTAAACATTAAGGACATGATGTCCTTAACTTCATGAATGCTGTGTAAATATTAAGGACAAAGTGTCCTATCATGTCCTTAACTTCATATGTGCAGTGTAAATATTAAGGACATGGCGTCCTTAACTTCATGTGTGCAGTGTAAATGTTAAGGATATAATGTCCTTAACTTGCATTTGCACCTTCTGTTATTAAGCTTTAGGACCTCATGTCCTTAACTTCATATGTGCAATGCAAATGTTAAGGACATGGTGTCCTTAACTTGATGTGTGGAGTGTAAATGTTAAGGACATAGTGTCCTTAACTTTATGGGTGTTGTATAAATATTAAGAACATGGTGTCCTTAACTTCATGAGTGTTGTGTAAATATTAAGGACAAAGTGTCCTGTCATGTCCTTAACTTCATATGTGCAGTGCAAATGTTAAGGACATGGTGTCCTTAACTTCATGTGTGCAGTGTAAATGTTAAGGACACCATGTCCTTAATATTTACACAGCACTCAGGAAGAAAGGGTAAAAATATCTTTTCGTATTAATTTTAATAAAGTAGTGGCTATTATTACTCAGCATTAAAAATACTGGATAAAAACTAAATACCATGTTAGAAAGTGGCTATCCCATGCCATTTCTACAGAATTTTACTGGCCGCTCGATGGAAACTGTACTTCAAGATGGCCACCGTAACTCATCCACCACGATGACTTAATCAATGACACGTGCCCTTGGGGGCCAAAGGCCCCTATTGCAGGTCGGCAAGCCTGTCCATAGCTTTTAGTTCCAAGAATATCACTTATGTTATAAATATATTATATTATGGATTTTCATTTAGTACTCCGTTGTATATAAGCTTCCTGAAGAAGCTTATCCATATGGGACTCTGCCGTAAATATGTTTATCTATTGAGTACTCTATTGGAAATAAGCTTCCCGAAGAAGCTTATCGCTTCGGTACCCGGTTATGGATAAACATTATCCCCGGTAGAAGATTATCCATACCGGGTATAATAAGCTTATCACTTCGGTATCCGGTTATGGATAAATATTACCCCCGATAGAAGATTATCCATACCGGGTACAATGAGCTTATCATTTCGGTACTCCGTTATGGATAAATATTACCCTCCGCAGAAGATTATCTATATCTGGTACAGTAGCAACTTACAAGAAGCTTACACAGCAGCTTGCAGTAGCAGCTTACAAGCAGCTTACACAACAGCTTGTAGTAGCAGCTTACAAGCAACTTACAAGCAACTTACACAGCAGCTTGCAGTAGCAGCTTACACAGCAGCTTGCAGTAGCAGCTTACACAACAACTTCCTTTCTTCTATAAATAGAGGAGATTTCAGTTCATTATGTACATGAATTTGAAGTTGAATAATAAATCTCTCTCTCTCTCTCTCTCTCTCTCTCTCTCTCTCTCTCTCTCTCTGATGNGCTACTTTCACTACATATATAGCATGTTATAGTACATGATATATTTTAACAGAGTTAATGAATTACATTCATTCATCATTAGGTTATAAGTCGATGGTTCAATTATAACATATTAATTGATATAAGTCGAGACGTTTTGTTTTTAATAAATACTCTCTCTCTCTCTCTCTCTCTCTCTCTCTCTCTCTCTCTCTCATCTCTGATGTAAGGCGACGCTCTTACGTCCTTTCCGAGCATCATAAGGCAGATTACATCCTTGAGGTGGTAAGTTTTTCTTCTTGGCGCTAGTGATGTGGATATCACTTATGTCTGGAGTGGCCAAATTTGTGTAAAGTAACATGAGCCTTTTGCTTATATTTGATTTAATATCTTTATCATCGCTTGCTTGGTTATATGCTACATATACAATACCTATTTTGGTATTTGTTTTCATCCTTATTATCTTAATAAAGGATTACAAAGTGGATGACATTGTTAGATCCACTTAAACTCTAGCAGAGTTTACAAGAAATATACAACCACCAAAAGTGGTTATGTTTCATATATCTCATTGTAACTAAATTTTGATAACCACCAGAAGTGGTATATGCCTATAACCACCATAAGTGATAATTTAGGCTTTTTGTGGTTACAATTGAAGATAAGTTAGAGAAAATTTCTCTATATTACTTGCATGTCTCGATTTTCTCCTGAAGTAGCATTATCTTAAAAGAGGTTGAAGCATCACACGATTTGGCGTGGTTAATGCACGTTCAGATAATTATGTTCCGTTCCCTGAAGGATGAGAACTTTTGATAATATTAGTCCATTCCTGAAGTGAATGTGACAATATTAATAAAACTCGTAAATATGAACGTGCTTTTGATGTGAATATATTACAATTCACCTCCAGAAGAGGTAATATGATTGAGGGAATATTTACTCAATATTTCGTATTTTAAATTTGCTCCTGAAGAAGTAACACAATTGAAATTTTCTCCTGAATGGGGAAAATATTAGGAAATTGTGTCTTTCTGTGCTTGAGCAAAATAATAAGCTATTCAAAGTTATTTTTGAAGCACATTTTCATTCCCTAGAGTGAATGAAGAAATACCACAACTCACCTCCTGAAGAGGTAGAATAACAAAGAATATAAATCTTGTTTTTGTGACACAAAGATCATTGTCGCACGTGCCCGTTGTACGTAAAATATCTTGAATAATTTTATTAAATATCATTCTAAGGCAAAAGCATTCTTGTAGAATGCTTTGTACTACAACCACATTAATATGTTATGGTTATTTATCGAGTTCCCCGAAGGAAATAACAACTCATATATCTTTCCCTGAAGGATGTAATGATTATGTGGTTGCCGCTTTGATATAAAATATTCAGATGTTAATGGCGTTTCTCCCTGAAGGAGACATTTGTCACAAAGTTGGTGGTAAAAAAAAATACTGAAATTCTTAATTTCTTACATTTATAAATTTAGAATTGTCTTTATATTGTCAATTTGATTATGAGTTTCTCTCATGCCACCAGAAGTGTCTGAGCACTATTTGGTAGTACAAAATAATCAAAAGCTCCTGAAAAGCTAACTGTTTGTCTAAAAGACACATGATACAAGTAGTGTCTGAATAATATTAGATTGTGGAAAATAAATTGAAGGCTCCTGAAGAGCTTATATGTAAATTTGTCTTTCATATTATATGATTATGGTCAAAACATATGTTGTAGTAAATCCGAAGTTTACTAATACAAATGACTATTATATTGAGACTACAAATGATTGGAAGATTGAAAATCTTCATGCTTCCACAATCATAGGGGGTAAATAATTTGTATGCGAGAAGTTACCCGCCTTATTCTTCAATTTTGTATCATGTATCAGAGTAAACCAGACGTTTACTAATGCAAAATCAGTCACAGTAAATCAGAAATTTACTAATGCAAAAGTTTATACCATAGTAAACCAGAAGTTTACTAAGAGATAGCACATGCCATGATAAACTTGAAATTTTTATTTGCCATTTTTAAATGAGCTATTTGAGAATTCAGATAACCATATACTGAAGAACTAGAAGATCCTTCAAGAATTCTGTTGTGCTACTTGTTCTCATAATAAATTGGTTATACCGGCTAAAGTTGGGACTAAGACCCCTGAATGCTGGAATATATAAAAGGTGAATATGGGCCCATTCACCTATCATGTGAACCACTTATAGATCCGTATATAAGATGGTTACATGTGTGTTCATTGTCAACCTGCAGTTTGACATTTGAAATTGCTTTTCTCAACTAAGAGCAAAACTTTCAGATTATGATATCAAGACAGTTCATCTTGATAATGTTGGTTTATATCCAAGCTGGTTTAGCATTGAATACCTCCTATTAATGGCTAAACCATTGCTTATGAGAAAAAAGGTTCATGTGTCGGTCTAAGATTTTCTAAATTGCATATAGTAGCACTTGTATGCATCAGACCAACAATATATGATAAGTCCTCCCCTCACAATTGGTTTACGATCAGAAATCAAATATTTTTACTATCTTTTGATGTGTGGTATATGATTAATTTCTCTACCACAATGCACAAAGATATGTTTCCCAAAGAAGATTGGGAATATATGTTAGTTTCTAACATTTGGGGGATGGAATAAACAGTTGAAAAATATGCAATATGAATCGAATTATCATTAATATGATCCTCACTTAGAAGATAATTCAAGTCAAATGCCAGAAGCATTTGCTGATCCAAAATTCAATATCATATTTCAGCTACAAATGCTCCTACTAAAATTAAAATCCCTGAAGGATAGAGTTTACTGTACGCATGAAGCGTGATAGACCAATCGGTTCCAAAGGTAACAATCATTAAAAAATGATAAGGAGCTAATGATCAAAATAATCATAATGAGGAGGAAATGAGCTCTAGAAGAGCCCACGACATAACATTTCATGAAACTCTAGAAGAAGTTCAGGTACCTGAAAATAAAGAAAGTGATGAGATCTCAACAAGTTATGTCGCTTGCGAACCGATACAAAGGATCATCGACGATATATTTGATACAATATAGTGCACAATACTGTGAAATATTGTGAGGATCGGACCAGTAGTCCAGACACCTGAAGATGTTATGTTATTTAAATACAAGGCATAACCGATATGACTCATTTGATTAAGTCTATATGAAGATCCTTGAAGGATTTAAAATGCCTGGAGCATATAATTCAAAGTCTCGAGAAATGAACTCGATCAAATTACAAAGATCTTTGTACGGTTTAAAGGAATTTGGGCGCATATGGTATAATCGCCTCAGTGAATATTTGCTGAAAGAAGGTTATGTAAGTGATGTTATTTGTCCATGTAGTTTTTATAATAAAAACGTCATCAGAATTTGTTATACTTGATGTTTATGTTGATGACATAAATCTTGTTGGAACTCCAGAAGAGCTCCAAAAGGCAATTGAATATCTTAAGAAAGAATTTGAGATGAAAGATCTTGGAAAGACAAAACTTTGTCTTGGTCTGCAAATTGAACATTTAGCAGACGAGATCTTTATCCATCAATCTGCCTATACAGAAAGGGTCTTAAAACGCTTTTACATGGACAAAGCGCACCCATTGAGTACACCAATGGTTGTTCGATCACTTGAAGTGAATAAGGATTTGTTCCGACCTCCAGAAGAGGACGAGGAACTCCTTGGTCCCAAAGTACCCTATCTCAGTGCAATTGGTGCACTAATGTATCTTGCTAATGCTACAAGGCCTCACATAGCATTTTCTGTTAATTTACTATCAAGATATAGTTCTTCTCCTACACGGAGATATTGGAACGGGATTAAGCATATATTGCGATATTTAAAGGGAACTCTTGATATGGTTTTGTTGTATGATAACAAAGATAGTGCATATCTTGTTGGTTATGCAGATGCAGGTTATTTATCTGATCCCCATAAAGCGCGATCTCAAACCGGGTACGTATTTACATATGGAGGTACTGTCATATCATGGCGCTGCACAAAGCAATCTATTGTTGCTACTTCTTCAAATCACGCTGAGATAATAGCTATTCATGAAGCAAGTAGGGAATGCGTATGGTTGAGATCAATAATTCATTTTATTCGAGAAAAATATGGTTTGGAATGTGAGAAAAGACCCACAATTTTATACGAAGACAATGCTGCATGCATAGCCCAATTGAAGGGAGGATTTATAAAAGGAGATAGAACGAAGCACATTTCACCAAAATTATTCTACACACACGACCTTCAGAAAAATGGTGACATTGATGTGCAACAAATCCGTTCAAGTGATAATCCAGCAGATTTATTCACTAAATCTTTGCCAAATTCAACTTTTGAGAAGATGGTCTACAAGATTGGAATGCGGAGACTCAAATATTTGAAACAAGGTTTTCATCAGGGGGAGTAAAATACGCGATGCACTCTTTTTTCCTTACTAAGGTTTTTTCCCATGAGGTTTTCCTTATAAGGTTTTTAATGAGACACATAGCAATCCGTATTACTAAATATGCGTACTCTTTTTCCTTCACTAGGATTTTTTTCCCACGTGGTTTTTCCTAGTAAGGTTTTAATGAGGCACATTATCTTTTAATGAACATCCAAGGGGGAGTGTTATAAATATATTATATTATGGATGTTCATTTAGTACTCCGTTGTAAATAAGCTTCCTGAAGAAGCTTATCCATATGGGACTCCGCCGTAAATATGTTTATCTATTGAGTGCTCTATTGGAAATAAGCTTCCTGAAGGAGCTTATCACTTCGGTACTCAGTTATGGATAAACATTATCCCCGGTAGAAGATTATCCATACCGGGTATAATAAACTTATCACTTCGGTATCCGATTATGGATAAACATTACCCCCGATAGAAGATTATCTATACCGGGTACAATGAGCTTATCATTTCGGTACTCCGTTATGGATAAATATTACCCCCCGCAGAAGATTATCTATATCTGGTACAGTAGCAGCTTACAAGCAACTTACAAGAAGCTTACACAGCAGCTTGCAGTAGCAGCTTACAAGCAGCTTACACAACAACTTGCAGTAGCAGCTTACAAGCAACTTACAAGCAGCTTACACAGCAGCTTGCAGTAACAGCTTACACAGCACCTTGCAGTAACAGCATACACAACAACTTTCTTTCTTCTATAAATAGAGGAGATTTCAATTCATTATGTACATGAATTTGAAGTTGAATAATAAATCTCTCTCTACTGGTCTTGAGTTTATTTACTTTAAAGTTTTTATTTTATAACAAACTTATCCTTTCAATGTAACTTTCTTGGAGCAAAACACCAATTATAATCAAGCATAAAAAAAAGAAAAGGAACAAAATACTTTAAAAAAATGGAAAAGGAAAAGAACCAAGCATTATTTAACTATGCTAAATTATTACTCCTACTATGTTTTGGTGTAAAAGTAAATCTTTACCCTTGTATAGTGGGTATTAACAATCAGTTATTCAAATATAGAAAAGGTCTTCCCTTTCCTCTATTAACGGTTCATCCTTTCCACCAAAAGAACAAGATTGACGAAAAAAGTTCCGCTTTTCACACTTCTCGACATGGCATATCTAACAAGTTTTCCCGTTAACAGCAAAAGAACAATCAATTACCATCTCCGAATTCAACAACCTCCATTTCTCATGTTCTTTGATTCTCCAAACTTCAAATTCACCTACACGCATTTCAAATTCTCAACGTATACAGAAATTCGTACAAACTGAGAACAAAAAAATGTCAAGCGACAGTGACGAAGATGAGCTGTTACAAATGGCATTACAGGAGCAAGCACAGGGCAAAAAACCGCCAGAGCAACCGCCAAAGCCGAATCCGAGTAGCGGCAGAGGAGGTGCCACGCCGAACAGAAAAAGCACCAATGCCGTGCCGCAGAAGCAGAGGAAAGGAGTGGAGGAAGATGAAGATGATTCGGACTTAGAGATACTCAGCATTTCATCTGGTGATGAGGTTCCTTCCTCTAAGGATCGTAAGGGCGTGTCAAAGAGAAGAGGTGCTGCAAGTGGAGGAGGAAGATCAGTTGGAAAGGATGATGATGAACCGTGGGAAGGTGGTGAACCTGATTGTTGGAAACACGTCGATGAAGACGAGGTATCCTTAGAGCAACTCCAACCTTGCCCCCATCCCATAATGGGGAAAAAAATGGAGGAATTTTGCTCCAACCCTCCCCCATATTTGTCCCCAAAATGGGGGATGAATAGTGTTCCCTCAAATATGGGGTACACTATTCATCTCCCCATGACTATTCACCCATATTTTATTATTATTTTAATTATTTAATCTTTTAGTTTAACTCTTTATATATACTAATTATGTTTGTGTAATATCTTTATAATATTAATATTATATCTTAACTTTGGTGTATAATTTTGATAAACTAATTTTCGTGCATTTATTATTTTTATGTAAAATTATAAGTTAATTTTATTATAAGTTAATTGTACAAAAAATATATAATTATCTCAAACAAATGAATGGTGCAAATATAAAATATTAGATGTTAATATTGAAAGGTGCGAATATTGAAAGGTGCGACATAGAAGAATTAAGGACAAAGATGCTCATTTTGCACTTCGTAATGCATTAATAGATCAGTTATGGGAGAATACTAGAGGTTGAAGTAGAATATTTATCTAGTATTTCGAATGAATTTTATCGTTATGTAATATGTATTTAATTAATCTTGTATCGCAATGATTTCACTTTTATTTGAATTATTAATTAATCTATAATAATTGCTTACAAATTATATTATTTAAAATTTTATGGAATTATTTTAATTATGGAAATTACAAAATAAAAATAAAAGATGGAATTTGTTTAATGGAAATTAAAAAATGAAATTGAAATGAAAGATAATAATAAAATATAGAAGAGATGCAAGAATATAAAAAAATTTGGGGGAAAAAATGGGGGAATGGTTGGAGTAAGTTGTCCCCAAAATGGGGATTTCCCCATTTTGGGGACAAAAAATGGGGGCAAGGTTGGAGTTGCTCTTACTCGCCTTATATATTTACTAGTCTTATATCTAGAATTTAGAGTCAGTTCGAGTAGGTGTGGCAATATTTTAAAAATACATTTTACTAAGCACTGATGGTGTTTACATAGTCAGGCCACTTGTTAGGTAATTAAAGGTAAATATCTTGTCAAACATTAATTGATAACCTGATAAAATTGATTAGTGGCGGAGCCCAGTAGCATTTGCCAAGACCTTGTATATGTATTAAAAAATTTACCAAATATCTATAAATATATAACAGTGAACCCAATTGTTATTGTACATTAACTTGAGGTCGCTGTAGGAACCCATAAACTTTAAATCCTGGACCCGCCACTGAAACTGATAACTAACCTGAACCTGCTATTACAGGTTAAATTCTTTGACAGTATAATTTACGCTGTCATTGTGTTGCGGGTATAATATCTGGTAGTAGCTTTGTAAGCTGATGCTGTGATTATGATTTCATGATGTTTTATCAAAAAGCTGTGGATCACTTAAACTTTTGTTTGATTTCTTTCCTCTTACGTGGGCAATTCTTGTGGTTTTAATACTGTTTTAATGTCATCATTACTCTATCTATATACAGTCATGTTTGTTATGGAGGAAATACTTTTAAATTGGAATACCATTTTATGGATGATTTAGAGTGTTTGGTTCAGTGTAGAGTAGCAATTTACCATGATAATTATTCAAGGAGGAGGATGTGGTATGACGATACTGTTTTGGTAATATTTTTGCATACTAAAGATTAACAACACTTTCTAAGTGTTTGTTGAAGCACGTGGTATGGAGTAAGAGTTGGAATATTCATAAAGGAAATGAGTTCAGCTGACAATATTTTCCTGAAAATTATCTTTCATAGCAAAAGTGACTTTGCTTTATTGGTGTGTACCTGTTAGAACTATAGTTGCTTATTTACTATAAGAGATTTTTCTTTGCTTCGCATACATTTGGGGGTTGTTCATCTGAGGAATTCAGTTTCATTTTGTGAGCTCTTGTATATAAATTTCAATTGACATTCATGTGGAGGTAGATAAATGGCTTCTTTATCTTTGTAAATCAGAATACGTGCATGAAATTTTGTTTGGCCGGTACTGCTTAAAGCAGTCTTGATTGAATGCTGAACTTAAAGATCAAAACTTTTTGCAGCTAAGGCGTCATGTTAGGGAGATGAGGGAGACTAGAGCAGGTCCAGCCACTCAAATTAAGGCTGAGGAGGAGAAGATGGCATTGGCGAAGAAGGCACTTAACAGTTTGCAGTCTTTCCCCCGTGGCATGGAATGCATAGATCCTCTAAGATTGGGGTACCTATTATCGTCTTACTTTATTTATGTATCTCAAACTGTTCACTGGTAATGTCTTGTGCTAACTGGGATGCTGTTTTGTACTGACAGGATAGTTGACAATAGAACATTAAGGATGATCAGTGAGCACTCATCAAGCTCCCCATCTGTAGGTGATAGGGATCATGTAGACGCCAAAACTCGCGGTATTTAATTTTTTCACCAAATTAGTTTATCATATTACAGCTTCCTTGCCTCTCCTTATCCATTACAGTTCCCCCAGGAATATTCTTTTCATCAGCCTCTTTCAATAATATTTCGTATTGAACGTGCCATACGATGATAATACGGAGATGAATCTGTATGACCAATTTCATTCATCTTCACTTTGTTGGATGCTTCTGGATTCAAGTGTGGGCACTTACTCTTAGTACTGTTGAGTGAACTTTCTTTATTGCAGTATCTTTTAGGCCTGTAGGTCTGCTCCCTCTTTAGTTCTTGTAGCTAGACAAATAGCAGGATCTGTAACTCACATGGTAGGGCATGTGATGCTTAGGCACGTAAGCAGATTTAAGACAATTTTTTTTATTCCTTATGTGGTGGATCGCTTGGGAATGATGTTCTGCTACCCTACTGGGAAAGATCATATTGTGGTTGAGTAAAAAGTATGGGAGGCTGCTATGTGATCTCTAAATCTATTTTCCTTGTTTTGCAGTGCACTTTGTATGTGCACTAATATGGCATTGGATTACTAGACAAGCCTGCAGGAGGATTCCCTGATTATATTATTTCGTCAAGTTTTGCTGGTGGCAATCGCTTGGGGATGCGTGCATCTCCTGAGAATCATTGGTGGCAGACAGAAACGCAGCACGTTCACTAAAACTGTGCTTTGATGTTGCAGGGCATATTTTAAAGCAAAGCTGCCGAAACTATTCACAAATACTAAATTCATATATGTTAAGTGATTCATATACTAAATTCATACTCAATTCACGTTGTTTCTCTCTTTTTGTTTAAAGCCCGAGCAATTTGCAGGATCATTTTGATTAACTATTTGTTTTCTATTTTCATTTACTGCTATAATTTCCTTCTATAGTTTCTCTATCTCAGGCAAGTTATATTTGATAATAATCAACTGAAATTTTTCACAAGATATTGCGTCAATTTTGCAGAGAGGTTGAATTATTTTTCTGAGAAGTTTGACCCAAAGTTATTTCTATCCCGAATCCACCAAGATACTAGTGCAGCTGACTTAGAGGCAGGTGCTCTTTCTTTGAAAACCGATCTTAAAGGACGTATGCAACAGAAAAAACAATTGGTCAAAGAGAATTTTGATTGCTTTGTATCTTGCAAAACAACAATTGATGGTGAGCTTCACATCTTGTTTGATACCTATGAGGTTTTCGCCTTACTTTGATTTACCATAGGAAGATCTAATTCTGACTTATGTTTTTGCTATAGATATTGAATCAAAGTTGAGACGCATTGAGGAGGACCCTGAAGGTTCTGGAACTTCTCACTTATATAATTGTATGCAAGGAGTCAATTCAATTGCTAACCGTGCTTTTGAGTCACTATTTGAAAGGCAGGTAAACAGTATGTGATGCTGTATTTATCAGTTCAATCTATTTAGTCAAGTAGATTATTGTAGGTGTGGGTGTTTTGCCTCCTCTTTTTTTGTTAGATATAAAAACTAGAAGCATTTTCCGTGTAGGCTCAAGCTGAGAAGATAAGAACTGTTCAAGGAATGCTTCAGAGGTTCCGAACATTATTTAACTTACCCAGTACCATTCGTGAGAGCATTAGTAAGGGTGAATACGATCTGGCAGTCAGGGAATACAGGAAAGCAAAGTCAATTGTTCTGCCTTCTCATGTAAGTGAAGGCGTAAATATTCTGCGACTTTTAAACTTACCAGTATTGGATTGTGCTTTCTGTTTGAAACTGTTGAGACCGATCTAAATCCTGCAAAACATGTACACCTACACAAGATTATGCAGAAGTTTATTGCATCTATACACGTTCATGTCTCTCTGTGTGTGAGGCCCTATGTTTCCCAGTCTTAGTAATCAATTAATCAAAAATACCTTGTGGTCATGAATGACATAGATACTCCAGGCTAGTAAATGGCTGTTGGCAGTGCCCAACTCTACTAGGGAAGAAATCTTAATTATAGAGTTTTTATATACATTTCACCGAGGCCCTTCCTACAACGTGCTTTTAAGCAAATGCTTACTCTTAACAATGTTTTATACTGAGAATTAATGCTTTTTCTTTGTTTAACACGTTTGTGTTCACCTCAATGTAAAGGAATAGGAACATCCGGAGTGCCTTGTTTAATGAGTCCATATTATATTAAAAAGGCAAAATACCTTAAACCCCCCCTAAACTTGGCACAAATTATTGATTACATCCTTGAACTATCTGTGGTCTTAATTACCCCCCTATACTTAGTTATTCGATAGCTATTACCCCCTTGGACGATCTCATCCTAGGAAAGTGGTATGCACTGCCTGCCACGTGGATTTTCCTGTCCATGTGGCATTTTTTGAAAAATAAAATATATTTTATACCTTTTTAAGTGTGTTACTTTTTTAGATAATCTTTTTCAAATAATGTTAGAACTACATTATTTAGGCTAATTTTTTTATTTGGCTAAAAATAATAAAGTTTTAGTTATTGTTTTTGAATTTGACCTGAAAATAAAGATTTATAGAGTTGAATTAAATAGTCAAGGCATCTAAAAAGATATAAAAATACATAGTTTGATTTTTATTATTTTGACTATAATTTTTTATATAGCTCTAAATTATGGAGATCTAAAAATATTATTTTTTACAGATTTTACCGGAAAAAGTAAAAATACACAATTGAAATAAATAGTCATTACATCAAAAGAAGAAAAAAAGAGTGTACAATTGCAAGGTCATTATTTTGGCTATACCTTTTTATCTGGTAAAAAATAATGGAGTTATAGTCATTTTTTTTTACTGATTTGACTCGAAATAAAAATACACAATTAAAATAAATAGATATTATATCTAAAGAAAACAAATAACAGAAAATACACAACTAGTACTCCATTATTTTTGCTAAAAGTTTTCTATTTGGCTAAAATGATGGAGTTCCAACCAAACTTTTACAAATTTGCCCCAAAA